ATACATTATTTTTAATATGAAGTGATAGCATTTTGCGCCATAGGACCGAAATGTGTTATAGTTGGTAGCACGTGCGAAAAAGTTGCATAATTGCATCGAAAAAGGTTTGACAATAGAGAAATTTTAAAGAAAGATGCAAGTATAGAAGGGGTATGTAACTATTACGAACGTTGTCTTGCCAGTGTATTCATATTCCATATGGATTACAGTGATAAAATATATGAGAATGGAAGAACGTATCTATGTTCATAGGCATAAATAACTATAAAAGGTGAAGATGGAATACAAGCATGTTTGTTAAGTATGGAAAATTGGTTCTGTCATATTATCAGCACAATTCACTACTAAATAAAGTAAGTGTTGTTTTCATTTTTAAAAGCCATGGTTCGTGAATGGACCCATTTATTAGCGCTGTTCTTATTTCAGTACCTGTAATGCCAAAGAAACACGTAGTATGAGTGCGTTATGATAATACCTTTGCAAACACTTGCTGTTATTTATTTTATAACTTTTAATAAAGAAATAAGTTGGACAAACTCATCGTTAAGTGTTTAAATGCCTGAACAAAAAAAAAGATTTGATATAATTAACTTTATTGATCGTTTATTTTAATCTAATGTCTCCTCACACTTTAATAAGAATTTCCGTAATTTCGATTTTCCATTGAAAAAAAATTCATATTGTTAATTAGGAAATGGAAAGTTTTTTAAAGTGGCAAATTGGAGTCACCGTCTTAGGTTTTAATTCTAACAGCACTTATATTGTCGTTGATGTAGGTAAGTCACACATTCTCAATTACTGGGTTGGTAAGACTGAACCAGCTTTCAAGTATTTAACTGTTATGTTTTGGGGTATTTCCACATCTGAACGTAGCCACTAAATGCAGCTGCATTTTTCCATAAACTTTTATTGACGTCTATATATGATAAAAAGACAAAAATGTACACACACATACACGAAAACAAAACCACTCTTTTTAATGAGCTTGAATGAAGTCTGCTTATAAGGCTTTTGAGTCATTTCTATTTCTCAGCGCAACTTTCTTTATACACACAGTAGGCATGTCTTTTCTTTTTTACTTCTGCAGTATATAGGGCCGTAGAGAGCTATCACGACCGGACCTCTCATAGTTCTCGTTCAAACAAAAAATTAAAGTGTTCTTCGGCAAGAGCTTCCTTACTTGCCAGGGTCGCATGGATGCCCCCTCTATCTTGTCGACCCTGGCAGTATAAAAAATAAAAATTGACTAAGAATAACAAAGAAGCGGAAATTTTATTTTTCTCTTCTTGACAACGTGACCAACATATTAAGAGAAATGTACTGAACAATTTAAAAAATGTACCATCACCTCTGTGGCACTCCTTTTCATCTATTTATTTGTCGATACAATACAAAATAATTTAAGATAATTTAATTTTTAGATTTGATACTATAAAATTGTACGATCTTTGTACAATAATTGTATAAAGGAGCATAAACATAAAAAGGAAGTCGTTGTATGCATCGTTTTGGATACTGTCAGACATATCTGTAAGGTCGTTGTATGCATCGTTTTGGATACTGTCAGACATATCTGTTAGGTCTTTGTATGCATCGTTTTGGATACTGTCAGACATATCTGTAAGGTCTTTGTATGCATCGTTTTGTATACTGTCAGACATATCTGTAAGGTCTTTGTATGCATCGTTTTGGATACTGTCAGACATATCTGTAAGGTCTTTGTATGCATCGTTTTGTATACTGTCAGACATATCTGTAAGGTCTTTGTATGCATCGTTTTGGATTCTGTCAGACATATCTGTAAGGTCTTTGTATGCATCGTTTTGGATTCTGTCAGACATATCTGTAAGGTCTTTGTATGCATCGTTTTGGATACTGTCAGACATATCTGTAAGGTCTTTGTATGCATCGTTTTGGATACTGTCAGACATATCTGTAAGGTCTTTGTATGCATCGTTTTGGATACTGTCAGACATATCTGTAAGGTCTTTGTATGCATCGTTTTGGATACTGTCAGACATATCTGTAAGGTCTTTGTATGCATCGTTTTGGATACTGTCAGACATATCTGTAAGGTCTTTGTATGCATCGTTTTGGATACTGTCAGACATATCTGTAAGGTTCTCATATAGATTATTTATAATTTTCGCATAAATTTATAATATTGAATCAATTATGCATATTCAAAAGGAATTTAACTCTCTCTGTTTCTTTATATATTTTGAATCAGTAATTAATAGATGATATAGTTTTAATTTCACCATAACGTAACACATCAGTTTACTAGACGGATGGATACGCTCGTTCACATTTGACATTCAGTGAAGAAACTAAATTAATACCGGTTGTGTCGCAACATGGTAAATGATCTATTTTATATTTGTAGGCTACTCTGTTCAGTTCACTATGAGTGTGACGGATACAGTATTCGCTTTTTTATAATATGATTCTGTCTAGGTATAATAAAAACAGTGCAAAAACGGAAGTACTTTTCTGCGTAAATAAGGCACCAGACATAAGTTAGTCAAACAACAAACAAATACATCTAATAATAGGAGTTCTCTAATGAGGGAAATCTAGCTAATTTGTGTTTCAAAGGTAGAATGTGGTTGCTAGGGAACCTAATTTAGTGAAGTTAATATATACGTCTTTAAGAAACTAATTAATATGATCTTCAGCGTATTACAATGCAGTTTTTCAGAGAGATAAAAAGCATCCCGTAACTAGATCTTATATGAAACAAATGATTCTGTTGAAAGACCGAATGACAGTACTTCTTCACTCTGTAAAGATACATGTCTAGGAATAAAATCAAACAATAATGGATTTAACGCAATAAATTTTCTCTTTAGATTGACTTGTCATATACTTTTTCGTGCTGTAGTCTGTTGTTTCAAAATCAATGCAGAGTATGAAAAACTTCCGGAATATGGAGAGAAGTTAAAGTCTTAATAAAAACTCTGAAAAATAGAAAGAAACAAATATCATGACAGCTAAAATATATATTTGCATACAGAATGCTGTTATCGAAAAGGAATTGGTGGCTTTTATCCAAGCAAGATTGCAGATTCCCTTGAAGGTGTATTGATTATTTAAAGAATCAGTCTGATTTGCACGGTGTCTGTTAAATAAATTTTTTAAAAAATCCTCAAAAGTAACTAAAAATATTACACGTATGTGAGTAAGACTTCCAATATAGGATGCAGTCTCGTCATTATTATGAGGAAAAGGTGGAGACATTATTTAAATATATTTTTAAAAATTATATTTCGCTGCATTTGAATGGTTACAATTTACTGAACAAATGTCGTCCGTGCTGGGAAGGCTTCAAAAAACCATGTGAGATAATTTCCTCATATAAATGTACCTTTCTGGCATACATCTACAAATTCTAGCGAAATAAAGGTGGTGAGATCGTAAAGGCCTCGTACTACACGCATTTATATTCGCGCTCAAGATCGGATTTTTCAACTTCAAAATGTCTTCTCTAGGCTCACCTACAAATGATATGGTCATGGAGGTGCCCATCCTGTCATTATTCATGCATCAGTTTTTCATGAATTTCCCTATTGTCGGTGGTGAGACTGCTTCACCGGGTGCTTGGCCGTGGCAGGTTGGTATATGGATTTATCACATAGTAGGTATGGTTTTCCTATAGTATGTGCAGTTTCATATTTTTGATATTACCACATGTTAAAATATCACTTTATGTGATTCTGATTGGGCCAAATAAGCCCATAAAATTAGTGTGCGGTATTTTCTTTACTGATTGGCTGTAATCGTGGGAAAACGTTTTTAACCCCGCCTTCTGGAATGTTTTGATCTGAATGAATATTTTTTGGCGGTAATTCTTTTAACTCGACTCGCAAATGGAAATTGAGGAAATATCATATCTGCTGTCTCAATATGGATATGCCACTCCCACAGGGGTTCATTATGTCATGTTTGACAATATCATCATAAGAAAAATGGCATAAAACTACAAGACAAGAATGACAATAACGAATAAAACTAAGGGATAGCGGGGTGGGTGGGTGGGGTGCTTATATCAGTAGCATAAATATAGAATCAACCGTACATACAAGCGTAGTTTAAATGTTAACTTAACTAAATAAACAAAATCACCTCTGTTCGGGGAATAATCTGGACATGAATGGGTCTCCTAACTGACAGATCTTTATCCAACCACAGCATCTTTACGTAGCATACATGGAATGTAAATCCGACACGAAAATAAATTTGTTGACATCCTCTGTACAGTCTATTTTTCAAATCAAACACTACAAATATCAGGTTACAAATGCATTGCAGTAAATTTGGGACTTTTTGCATTCGGTAATCATATTTCACATGAAAATCGCAACAATGTAACATTTTTAAACACATTTTAGGGTACATGTATATTCTAATGTCGGCCTCCTGTACTGTATACCGTAAAACAATGTGGCAGCATCACATCGCATTTATAATTCTGTTTTGAAAAATGATTTTGTGGTTACAAAATGTTCTGTTTATTCGGATGGAAGCTTTTTCTTTGATTTATAGTTTGTAAAACAGTACAATCTAATTTTACCAGTTCAGTTTTGTTTGGGACTATATTTTATGCACAGCATGTGAAAGGTACACCGTTTGTCAGAATGAACGAAATTATTTGTTCTTCTATATATCTAAATAATTTCCACTGAAATAAAAACTATGTGATAAAAAGAATCTCAAATGGACAACGACTTAATATTAAATTTATCAAATTCGTTAAATAATGTCCAGCTTTTGCGAGCCTTGGTTCTCAAAAGCTGGACATTATTCAACTTGTTTCATAAATTCAATATTAAATTGTTGCCCATTTGAGATCCTCTATATATGATACAGTAATAAATAATAAATCAATAAATAAAAAATACTTAAAACAGTAAAATGCTTTTTGTAGAGACTCTTAATGCTTTGCACCATCAACAAGCAAGGCAGCTGCAAGTACCATTTTTAAAAGTCATTGGCATGACTGGGCCGGAGGTTTGAACCTGCGACTACCCGCATCCGAGGCGGACGCTCTAACCACTGGGCTACGGTAGCGGTCAAGAAGAACTTAAATAAAAATATGAAAATGAAGAGGCTGTTGGCAAGTAAATTGTAATTCAGACAACGACATAAAAATGTTCGTATTACCGATTTCAATTTAAATAAACGACCATTTCAATTATGATATAAAGAGTGATAATTAATATATGAACAGCATTTGAAAGAAGGAAAGTAATGTACTGAATCACTGTTCTTCAAGTGTATACGGTCTTTTCTCTGTTGTAGGCATCCCTTCAAGTGTACAGCAACGGTATTTTCTATTTTCTCTGTTGTAGGCATCCCTTCAAGTGTACAGCTACGGTATTTTCTCTGTTGTATGCATCTCTTCAAGTGTATAGCAACGTTTTTTTTCTGTTGTAGGCATCCCTTCAAGTGTACAGCAATGGTCTTTTCTCTGTTGTAGGCATCTTTTCAAGTGTATAGCAACGGTCTTTTCTCTGTTGTAGGTGTCCTTTCGAGTGTACTGCAATGGTCTTTTATCTGTTGTAGGTGTCCTTTCAAGTGTACAGCAATGGTCTCTGGCATCACATCTGTGGAGGAAGTCTTATTGATAAGCAATCGGTTCTTACCGCAGCACATTGTGTGGAGGGCCTCACGTCTGTCACAAAGACACATACACGCACGCACACGCTGTATAAAAAGGTTCTAAAAACCTTATAACTCTTTCATTTGAAACCTGAGGTATCAACTAGCATGATGTAGTCTTTGTACGCAGAACACTGAAACACTAGGAAAACGTTTTAAATGAAATGAAAAGCTTCGTACATTTGCATGCATGGTTCTGAACATTTATTCGATTCCGAACCAGCAGAGATGTAACGAGCGCTAAATTCAGGAACAACAGTTTTGAAAATGTTGATAGATAGTTATTTTGTAAATAAAAAAGCAACACAAGAAAGAGAGAAAACGACGCTCAAGTAACCATTTGTTCTTATTCACAGGTGCAAATATATTTTAAAGGCTTTTGTTTTTAGACTTTATTATGAGTGGAGTTGGGATAGAAGGGGACAGTTCTGACAGTGCCTTGGGTATACAAATTATTAATAAATTCCACTCCCCCGACAAACAATAACAAGGAAAGTACTTGCAGATCCAATATAGGTCACTCAATTGTTTTATCCACTGTCACAAAGAGTTATTTCATAAAACATGCTAACCAGTTCTATACGTTTTCATTTATTCTTTCTTTTTCCATCGTGCTTGAAAATTCCTACTGGTACGGACACGTCATCGGGTCCTACCAGTCATCCCAATACGTTTTCCAGCCAATGATACATTTTTAACAAAGGATGCATATACGGAGATTAGACACAATTATAAATTATGCTTGTTAATACACCGTCAATTGGTATGTCTAGTATGGACATGACACCTCCCCTTTTCATTGCACAATGTTCGTATAGTTCACGTATTCGAGTAGTGTTGGGAGAACACAGACACAGCACTACCGAGGACCAGAACAATCTAACATTCCTTCAAATAGCCTCTACGCAGTGGCGGATTTAGTCATTTGGAGGCCTAAGGCAAACACAGGCATGGGGCCCCCACAACCCTTGTTCTTCCCCTTTTCAGTCCTTATTTATCTGAGAAAATGTACTTGTAACTTGCCACCAGTCTTCACACAACTTAACGATGTTTAGATATATAATTAATTGGTGAAAAGTTAGACAACAAATCGCAACCATAAATTTATGAGGCATTTTTAAGAGGCCCTTGGTAGTTTGGGGCCTAAGTCAATTGCCGACGTATGCTTAATTGTAAGTCCGCCACAGCCTCTACGTAAGTAAAAGCTTGCTTGCTCAGAACTCTTTACCTTATGGATACGGTTAATATGTTTTATTAAAACATTTCGTAATTTTGTAAAATATATTATGGATTTTTGTATCATTTTAAGATATCCTTCAATTAGTAAACGTAACATCTGATGCTTACCAACATTTTTCATGTGATACTATTAATTGTATTTTGTTGGTGCCATTTCATCAAAGAAAGTAATTGCATATTTTTTCATGTGATAAATAGATTCGCTTTTTATAAGTTGTTAAATGTATGAAACTAATCAAGTGGCGAAGAAAGGTTTAAAAGGGTTTTATGGATTTGATATCAAATGACCGAGATACACGTAATATTCTCAGCTAAGTTGAATTATAAATCCAAAGACAACATATATCACCGCTATTGCTTTCAAGATGGCACTGTATTTTGAATTTCCAGCTGAATAGGTGGGTGGGGTGAAAATAAAAATAAGATATATATCAAAGGTGTAGGTTGAATTAACTTCTTTCGTACGTGATATATAGTATTATATATTAAAATGCCGATCATGTCATGAAGAAACATCATACCTGGATTCAAAACAAAGAAACAAAAGTAACTTTAGTCTCTAAGCTGATGAATGCAAATTGCAAAGGCAGAACAATAATCTATGAATTTTGCAGGTTAGGGATTTTGTCCCCTTTAAGTTTCACAACTGACCGTATTCACGAATCCATGAAGCTTAGCGAATAATTGCATGGCTTTTAAGTGCGTAACGAATCAAAGCCCGTTCTTGCATTATTTTTGCAATTTACTTGCATAAATTATTTTCTTTGAACAACAAATCTCAAAAATATATAGTATAACTACTTTAAAATAATTATTTACAAATGTTATAAAAAACACATCAACGGAACGTAAATACAACAAGATCTAACTAGTGTTATCATTTGATAGCTTCTAGTTTTCTGCGTCACGTACTACAGTTATTTAACTAATCTTAGCTTTTATAAAACACTTGGCTAAATAGTACATTCATTATAGCATGAAAATCCATTGAAAACACAATGACAAAAACTTAACTAACTCAATATCTCTTATGGAGTTGGGGTGTGGTGTGGTGCGTGTGTATTCTGTTGTTTGCTTTATTATTTTAGTTTCCTCTTTTCTTAAGTTGCACAGTATAATAACCGATATAAAGACATGATCTCTGCTTTTAGTAAATTAAGGAATCTTTGTAAAATACCCGCCCCATGACACAAGTAGACTGGCTTTTACGATAATTTCAGCATGTTTTGCCTTTGTGCCATCATCAACGCAAATGACTATGATATCAGTCTGATGACATTTTAATTCTTCTCTTTTTGTTATATTGTACACTATAATAAATCTGTAATAAAATTTAGGTTTGTGTGATTACTTGCTTGATTATTAGAATTCGGTGCAATGGGAAATATTCCTTAGCCCTAAATAATTAGCCAATTATTAGGAGCAAACGTCACGGAGAGAAAGCATTAGTGAGTTTCCAAGATGCCATGGTCAATGAGTAGCGAACACATACCCAACCCGCATGAGTGAACCTAGTGATGTAGTACTTTATAAAATCTAGTGGTGTACATTGATGTTGTGACTATAGTGGCAGTATTTACAGCAAGGAACCGGTACATTACACAATGGAATAAATGAGAAGAGACTCGGCAGATACCTTTTATATCGCCATGGTGGCAAATGTGATGTAGTTTTACTGGTGTGATGTACCTTGAAACGGTAGATTGACTGGCCTCAGGTGGCGTAGTTAAAGTAGTTCCTTGTGTTATGGATAGCTGTAGAGTTTTTACGGTGTGAGCTGCTGACAATACGGAAAGATAATGTAGAGACACTATGCGGATATGCGTTGATGGATAATTGGCATGTTGTGAATAATGTGGTCAATAATGTGGTCTTGCATTGATTAGGGTAAACTTTATGTATAGAATGGACACGTTGGGCTTTCCAAACTACAACTAAATTTGGGGTAAATTTATGACTTCTAGCGGGGTTCGCGCCAGGGTTTTGACACCGCTCGGTTAAGCAAAGACCCCTGGCTTGTAATAATAATAATAATAATAATAATAATAATAATAATAATAATAATAATAATAATAATAATAATAATGATAATAATAATAATAATAATAATAATAATAATAATAATAATAATAATAATAATAATAATAATAATGATAATAATAATAATCGTATTTTACCAACTTTTTCTCCTTTCCTCCATATCAGAAGAAACCATTGCGCATTTTTTTCTTCTGTATTCGCCTTCTCTTTTTTTACGCTATCAGGACGTTGTCGAAGCCTCGGTTCATCAAACGTTCAGACAATATCACACACACGTTTTGGAATGTTTCATAGTTGAAGCAAATTCTACGAATTATCAATGCCTGTCTGGCCGGGATATTCTGAAATCAATGCTCTGGATCTGTGTTGTTGTCTATAAATCTATTTGTGATGTGTAAAAATAAGTAGTTTGAATTAGAAAAAATGCCGTAAATTTAATAGGACAGAGGTTGCTTGCGTTTGGGATATCAAGTCAGATATCTTTTCTCTTCCATCTTGCTATTTCATTTCAATGTCAGTGACGTAGAGTAAAAATTCATATCTCTGGTGACCTAGTGGTTAGAGCGTCCGACTAGGATGCGGGAGGTTGCTGGTTCGATCCCCGGCCGCGTCATACCAATGACTTATAAAAATGGTACCAACAGCTGCCTCGCTTGGCGCGCAGCATTAAGAGCTTAGTGTCAGCCTGGTGTCAGGATAATGTAACTAGGTTTGACATCATGCTACATGCCTGGGGCATTATGCCCCAGTTCTAGACATCACTATAAATTACCACACTGCAGACATCGCAGCGCTATGACGGGAAACTTGTTAAAGGTACTTTAAAAATGCAAATCACACACACACACACGCACGCACACAGAATACGCATTGATATGGTAATAGTGTAATAGTGTAATAGATATTGATATGGTAATAGTGTAATAGATATTGATATGGTAATAGTGTTACCACCCTTCCGCGAAAAACAACACAAGTATGAAATTAGACTTTCGTTAATGATCTTTACTTGACTAGAGGCAAACGTTTTGTGGTATTAGGGCGTTGAAGATCCCTTAGTTGACAACGACTGTCGTCTTAAGCTCCCTGGAAATAGTGTATGGAATCAGTACACAATTAATAAAATCCGGTTCAGTACCCATGAATGTAGTCCCAGTCTATTTTGAGATCACTTTTTCTTGTCTGAAATTGGTGGTGATTAGTCTAGAGTTAGATTTTGGCATTCTTGGTAAGGATTTAAAGGCAATTGTTTATTCTTTAAAATGTGAGCTTATGGTGTGGTTCTCTGTGTTTATTTCGGCGATAGTGCACATTGTGTAATAAGGTCATGGTGATGATCCGGAAGGGAAATCTGTGTTCCGTTGCCTGGTGTTTTGTTTATAATTCAGCCTCTCAAAAAAAATGCAGGTCAATCCTTGACAAGAACTAAACCGTAAAGTCATCTTTGAAGGTATTTTAGATTAAGATATGATTTGTATTGATTGTCACACAGTAAAAAGTTCAGCATTGAGAAACAGATGTAGAGACAATATAGTGATTTTAATTGTGTTCTAAGGCCTGTCAGTAAAAACTTGAAACTGATATAAAGTTTTATTATTAATGACATACACATGAAATTTTAATATGTTATGTATATTGACTTTAAAAATATAAAAATGAAATTAAAAATAAAAAATAATTTTAATTATTAAAAATTTAAATGAAATTTAAAAAAAACAATTAAAAAATAAAAAATTTCCACCAAGTATACACATATATAATATTTTTTTTGGAATGATATTAAATGATATCAGCATATATATACTCCTACACCATATACAAGCTCAAATATTGGATATTTGTCAAACTTGATCAGAGAAAATATCTTTATTAGTCAAAATGAGACCCTCATTTAAAATACATGAAGACAAAATTCTATTTTGCTTTGTACCTTTAGGTCATTGAAACTATTTATTTGGGGTCCAAACAGTTAATTTATGTGTTTATGATGTGGCGACTTCCCAATTAACACATATCTGCTTGTATAGCTATCAGTAATTGTTTATAACCATAGTTATAGGGTATTTAGTGAGAGGACAGAGATGAAGACTTTATACTAGAACCTGTTCAAGTTCTCTACAAAATCATATTAAGCTGTCAGAGAATGAAATACAGGTCAGAGGGGTAAAATATACTTTACCCAGGTATATTTACCATTGCATGTAAGAAAACAGCAAAATGATGTAAGTTGAACACAGAATGCATTCCATTTTATTGTTCAGTTTCTTTAAGATGTTGATTGATGTAGTGCGGCATTGTGGCCCAGATGATATTATGGGAATTCTCATGATCCATTTTGCTTTATGCATTATTAATGACTAATAATATTTGTTATTTAACACTTTAAAGATTACGTAATTAATATTCAAACAGATTAATTGAATTTAACTTTCTACAACTGATCCTAACATGGTTACATAGCTGACATGAACAAATATGCATATATTTTGTAACGTTTGGAATCAAAAGTTGACATTGTTAGGCTGACATAGTACCTATAGTGAATCTGTAAGGCTCAGTTTTGACTGTGTGCACTTAAAATATCCCAAGATGTTATTTTCATCATGAATATGCCTCTGTACGGTAACACATTTCAATTTAGTACTTTGACAGAGGTGGTATTGCAGCATCAGCTAATATCTGATTCCACTGAATCATTGAATCATTGAACTTAATAACTTGGTAGCCAAGACTCTTAAAAATAGACTAAAAATGTTCAAACAGATCATTTGAATCATGTTTGCACATGTGATTTAAACAAGTACATTGCATATGTCCCACACTTGCAAATATCCATCCTTGTTTACAAGTTTTTGGGATGAAAATTTCACATTTAGTTGATGATATAGGATCTATTGGTACCTATAGTTGATCTGTGTGGCCACATTTTGCTATATTCGCTCACAATATCTAAAATTGTTTTACCTTCATGAATAGGATTGCATATAGTAATAAATTTTAATTTGGTACATTGTCATTTGACTTTCCACTATACTGGTATGTATCAATGTTTGCACCAATGATCAAACCTCACCGTTCCAACATTGCCTTAAACTTTATGATACATAATCTGTCTGATTAGGTATTTAACCTGTAAATGGCTAAATATGCTTGTAGAAACTTCATCTATTTTTAGGATGCATATATCACTTTAATACATGCCCAGTGCTTCACATCTTTGAGTGTCACTCTGTCAAGTTTACCTTTTTTACCCATATTTGCAAGCTGAATGTTACTTTGAAATCACCATATCTAACACATTTTAACTTCATTTGCCTACATCTTCCATTATTTTAGAATTAAGTGAAACATGTTATAAATTTTCAGGTCTTATCTGGTATCTGGAACAAAGTATTAGAGTTGGATCATTTTGGAAGCTCTCCAGTAGTCCAATGGTGATAGCAAGGTCTCATAAGGACATGTGCAGTGTGCTGCTATAAGTGACCAAGATGAGTTCATATCAGTACACTGATATACAGAATCTCAAAGACATGGCTTAGATCTTCATGAGAGAGATTCGCATCATTTTTCAGTAAGGTGAAACTGTATTTTCATATTGCAAAGTTGACTTTTGTAGTTATCGGCATTAAAATGGAATGCATATTTGCTATAAAACATGGTAGTGGCCCCATCAAAACTTTAAATTTGAGTGGGCTATTAGTTATACAAAGAACTGCCCAAGTACCTGAAACAATAAATGTGGAACATAGCACCTGTCATTGTTTGCTAAGTATGTACACCTATATGCAGCTGGATAGGCATATTGCAATTTGCTGTCCAAATCACTGTGAGCTGTCATGCTTCAGTACCCTGGGAATAGTATTATCAGTTGTACAGACCCAAAATACTATTTGTTTTAAACACCATTCATTAATCAACTTTGCTGCCTTAAATTTGTTAAACTGAATGTTATAACTTGTATGGAAATTTAACTTTTTTTAAAAATAAAAAGTTTTTAAAATTTAAATATTTATTTAAATTTCCTTTAAAATTTAATATATCAATATTTTTTTAATTCCAAGAATATTTTCAGACAGGACATATCAAGTATTACAACTAGGTTTTTACTGCATTGAAAAATTACTATAATTAAGGAAGATATAGCAAATTTAGTTTTGGTTTCTTAAGAACAATTGGACCTCAAATTTCACCCTATAGAACACCAGCACTACACACTTTCTGACAGCTGTCATATGTCTTGCTTGCAAGGAAATTTCAAAAGACTTTATATATGAAGTTGAAACAGTAGTGGCATGCAAAATAAAATGTAAAAATAAAGTCTGACAAAAATATTGACCCTTTCAGGAATCAGTACACAATTAATAAAATCCGGTTCAGTCCCCACGAATGTAGTCCCAGTCTATTTTTAAATCACGTTTTCCTGTCAGAAATTGGTGGTGATACTAGAGTTAGATTTTGGCATTCTTGGTAAGGATTTAAAGGCAATTGTTTATTATTTAAAATGTGAGCTTATGGTGTGGTTCTCTGTGTGTATTTCGGCGACAGTGCACATTGAGTAATAAGGTCATGGTGATGATCTGGAAGGGAAATCTGTGTTCCGTTGCCTGGTGTTTTGTTTACAATTCAGCCTCTCAAAAAAATGCAGGTCAATCCTTGACAAGAACTAAACCGTAAAATCATCTTTGAAGGTATTTTAGATTAACATATGATTTGTATTGATTATCACACAGTGGAAAGTTCAGTATTGAGAAACAAATGTAGAGACAATATAGTGAAATTAATTGTGTTCTAAGGCCGTATACCCCGACCTCGGGCCTTAAGCAGGTTTTCAGTTGATTCGCTCGGCAGTGAGATGTTGTGAAACCGCCGTCGTGTTACATCCACTAATTAATATGTTTAACTGCAATTGTCGTGTGAACGGACATCTAAGCAATTAGGTATTAACAAAAAAAGATATAAAAATAGGAAAAGACGCGAAGATATATGATTAATATTCAACTCTCTTATCAATACAATTATTAAATAATAGTTTTCATTCTTTAATAGCGTCTTTCAATGATAGTCATTGAATAATGGCGTCGTTCCATGATATTTTCATTTAATAAGTGTCTTTCAATGATATTGTAATTTTTAACAGCGTCTTTCAATCATGTTGTGTTCACTAATACAGTCTTATTTCCAATACTAAAGTTTTAAGTGTATTATCTTTTATTCGCATTAAATGTTGTCCATTTTCGTCTATTCACGCTCAGGATTGTTAATTTTGGAATTCAGATCCAAAAGTTGTACTTTACTCGCAGATGAGTCGTTATGAATATATATATTATTATATGCTTGGTGAGCAGGTATTACTTTTTGAATGATCAAAGGTTAACTCACCAAGTTGTTAAAACGTTTGTTTTATACACTTCATATGTTGTAAAACGTTTTGACTAGCGGCTAAGTATGCAACAAGGTAGTGTTCTGTCATCAAGACTTTTTTTTATTTATGCATCGGAAGTCGTAGCCTTTGCATTAAATCACCTGGAGACGGCAGTATCACGTTTCAATTGTGACCAATCCTTAAACTAGTGTTCTATAACTTAGCTTTATTATTAGTTTGTTTTGGTT